AAAAAAAAAAAAAAAAAAAAAAAAAAAAAAAAAAAAAAAAAAAAAAAAAAAAAAAAAAAAAAAAAAAAAAAAAGGTTAATCAATTATAATCTTTGGAAATCAGCAAAAGTAATCTCCGCATTAACCGCATTATGTGACATACAATTTGTTTTTTGCCGTGAATAAGCACCATCATTTAATTTAATATGATAAAAATTACTCATCACTTGGAACTTATTTTCGGTAAAATCCATATTAGTATTCTCGAATTTTAACTAATAACGTTTATATTATGGTTTAAAAATCGAAATTCTATCAACTTCGGCTCAAAAAATTGAATACCTCTGTATCTGATCAGAAATCAAGAAATTTTTTTTTTACTTTTACTCCTTTATTAATTAACTAACAAAACTTGAATAATAATAAAGAAAATATTAAATAAATAAACAAATATTTGTATTAAAATCAGGTCGAGATAGATTATCATCTTCATTGGTTTAAATCACGTGAAGGAAACAGAACAGAAAACACCTTTCATCCCATGTAAATTTTTTGGCCGGCATTACTAAACTTGGCCGAAATTATCCGAGTGACAAATATGATAAAAAATAAAAAAAAAACAGAGTATAACATAAGATAATAAATTATTAAAAGTGTTGATAATACTGAAGAAAATGAAAAGCTCTCAATGATTAGAATAACTAGTCTTTAATGGTCGCTTCAAACAATTAATAGAAACAATATAAATAATCAATCATTTTTACTAATTTTCAATTATGAAATTTTACATAATTAAAAATTTATTAATAATATATTTAATTTATTATTATTAATAATTTTTTTTTATTTCTTTTTAGTTGCGCTGTCCGCCCGCTAAATTCGAGTCGATGCTGATTGGTCCCTTTCGTTGCACTTGTGCTCCGGACTTAACAATGGTTTCCGAAACCATTCCCTAGTTTATAATTTAATAAATTTAACTATAATTAATAAACAAAATGCATCTGTACCTTGTCCCGATCTTTTTTTGATTCAAATGATTCGGATGATCCAGCAACGAACCCTCTTATATTTCCGACTGTCCCGATCGTTTCACTGTTTACGGCCCCATTGATCGTTCCATCTACAAACATCGGATGATGGAGATGGAGCACACGAGAGCAGTGATGTGCACTTGGAAGCTTCCAATCAAATTTTATACTATTGGAAGCATAAAATGCACATCACTGCACGAGAGCGTTCTCTCTCCCAACTTTTTGCTATTTTATCATCTGATCCCTAACATGAATGAGGAATTAGTAAATAGATTTAAACCAAATCTGAATTTTTCCATCCCATTCAAACATCAACTAAATTTAAAGATAAACTGTGCCCAGTACTGGCTCGACCTAATGACTAACTTAAAGATCGCCTGTTACCCCAGCACTGGTTTTGTGGCTCGACCTAAAGACTTGAATGACAAAGAAACCTGAAGATTCCTTCCACGCCACTTACTCTATCTATATTCAATATAAAAAGATTTTTTTACTTACCTTATAAATATTTAGAAGTTGTTTTGCTCTTTCCTGCCTCTTCCCTTGTTCATTGTCATTAATGGTTCGAGACTTTTTAAATACAGCCCAATCTTCAACTGAAATGGTTCCTCCTTGCTTTCGTTTTAAAAACTCGGTGATGTTCCATTCGGTACATTTTCGCTTAAAATAATCATGTATTTTTGGACGAGACATTTTACTGCGAAGTTAAATACATTTTTTTTCACGGACTATCCTACCAGTCCTGAACCAGTGCTATGTGCGGAATGTGCACGCGCACAAAATTTTAAAATTTCCGCACATTCAAAAATATAATTTTATTTGATATTATCAAAAATAATATATACAGTGAAACCTCCATAAGTGCACCCTCTCTAAATGCACATTCTGCTATTTTTTTATTATGGTCCCAAGGGGAGCGCACTTATGGAAGTGTCTCTGTATATTATTTTTCTGTGAAGACCAATCAAAAAAAAAAATTTTTTGTTTTTATATGGGCTAATTTGAAATCAATTTGTTTATAATAATTACTAAATATAGTATACTTTTCAGCAAAATCTTACTACTATATTTAGTAATTATTATAAACAAATTGATTGGCGGAATTGGTTTTTAATTAGCCAAAGAGTTCAAATTAGCCAAGTATTATTAATATCAGTTAAATATAAGTGAATTTTTGATATTTTTTAAAGTAATATTTATTTATAAACTTATATATATATATATTTTTTTTTGTCTAGTATTTTATGATATAATTTTAACATTTCAGACAAATCAAACTGATCTTTATTATTTAAGTAAAGTTATTTAACAAATATTAAAATATATATATATATAAATTTTAATTAAGATTTACTAAGTATATGAGAAATTATTAATATTTTTGTAACGTACTAACTTTATTAATCAAAAATAATTGACTTTATATTTTTTTAATAATCTTTATATCTAATAATCCTAATTTAATGTTAGATGATAATAGTAATTCTACTAATGATTATTATCAGAGCCTAACAGGACAACTGGTTAATCTAATAAATTTGGATTTTAAATTTTTATTTTATTAAGCAGCTTTTTTTATTTTTCTATATCTGTAACTCTTTAAAAAATTTTCATGTAATTTTTATTGATTATGATTATACTTAATAAATAAAGTATTATTGCATCTTTAAAAAAAAAATTGATCTAAATTTGATAAAACATGACTTATTAGAAAATTTAGAACTTTTTAAATCTAATAGTTTAACTTTTATATAATTGGATATTATAAATGTCAAGTTTATCATGTAAAAATTTAAAATAATAATTATTAATCTTTTTATATTTTAATAATTGACTTTACATTTTCTTAATTATTTTTGCATTCTAAAGATTCAAGTAAAAGCTAATTATTATTGTCTAATTTAAATCTAAAATCTAAATAATATTAGTTATATCTTAACAAAAAATTTTGAAATGTTTGATTGAATTTAATATTATTCAAATCTAAAATTCAATCTAAATTATTTAAAATTATCTGAAATTTAATTATTCACGTAAAATTTAAATAATATAACACTATTAATAAAATATATTTGAATTTTATAAATAGAGGTTAATTCAACTTTTTAACTAATAATATTTTATTATTTAAATGAGAAGCTAATAGAAAATCTAAATCAATATTTGAAAAATATATATTAAATAAAAAAGCAAATTTTGTAATTTTTATGAAATCTTTTAGTATAAAAACTCACTAACAATTTTTAAAAATTACTTTAGCAATTTTTATATAAAAGTTTCTGTAAAAATTCAGAACTTTTTTTAGAATATTTAGCAATAAAAGCGAATAAAATTAGTAAGTTTTTTTTTTAAAAAAATGAAAACTTAATTATCAATTAATTTAGTCAACTTAAACAAAACTTTATGATCATAGTTAATCAAAAAATATTTAAATATAATAAAATGATCAGATTATTTAATCAAATAAAAAAAAATATTTAATAAAGAATATTATTTTATAAAATATTTCTCTTTTTACTATTAATTTTTATTAAAGAATTTATCATAACTCAAAACTAAAAAATTTATGAAATAGTCTATTATAAATAATAAATTTATTAAATAACTAATTAAATGTTAATATTTTAATTATATATATAATTATAATTATTTAATAATTATTAAATAATTAATTTAAATATTTTTATTAATATTTATATATTAAAATATTAAACTGATGTAAAGATAAAAGATATTTTTTTTAATTTATTATTTTTGAAGTTTTTATATTAATCTAAGTTTAAATTATAAGATTAAATATTTATTTTTTTAATTATTAAATTTAATTTTTATTTATTAATATATTAATTTTATATAAAATAATAGAGATCTAGAATTAATAAATATTTTGAAATATAAAATAAATTAAAAAATAATAATATATATCAAAAAAATTTTTGATAAGAAATTGTCTTTTAATATAGAAATCCAAGTTATTATTAGAGAATAAAAAAAAAAGCTTATTAAGTATTTTAAATTATACTGTAAATATAATATTTTTATATATACATATATTATTATTATATTAAATCAATTTAATATTATGATAATATAAATATTCATATTTACATACAATAAATTAATTGAATAAATTATTCTATAAAATGAAATCAGTATCAAAAACAATTTAAAAAAATAAGATTTATAATAATATATATCATAAATAGACTCTAAAAAATTATTAGTAATATATTATTAATAAGTAATTATTAGAATAATAATTGCTTTTTTTTCAATATTAATATTTATAATAAAATTTATTATAATATTATTTTAAATATATTTTTTTTAATCAAAAATATATTTCATAAATAATAATCTTTATTATACAAATTTTATAAGTTTTAATATATAAGTTTAAAAAAATTTTATCATTTATAAAAAATTAAGTATTAGCAATTTATGTAAAGTATATTAATTAAAAAATATATATTATAGATTTTGATTTTAAAGTTAAAAAATAAAATAAATTATACAATTCAATATTCTTTTAATTACTATAATTATTATATTATTAATAAAAAAAAAAAAGTTAATCTATAATTTTATATTATACATCAAATATTAAAAAATGATATAAAAATCATAAGTAATTCAAAATATCAATTCTAAATCTAAATATAAATTTTACATCTATTCTTTTGATAACTTCTATTATTTACTTAAAAAACTTTTTAAAAAATAAATAGTATTGTAGGTTGAAAAAGATATTTGGTTAATAATTTTTAAAAATAATATAATATTTTTGATATAAAACTTTATTAATTAAATTTAAATGTTGATTTAAACATAGATTATCTATATATTCAAATACAATAGATATACTATGCTATTTATTCTTATGTTTATAATATAGGCAAATTTGTTTGCATAAATATAATATTATATGAAATCTATAGATATGACTTTTTGTCATAACCAAGGGTTAAATACTACGAACAATTTAGCAATATTCTGAAATATTAATTGCTTGAAAAAATTGTAGGATTTATTTTTATATAAAGTATAATAAGGAAAATTTTTAGGATTATGGTAGAATTTCTAGACTTTTTTTATTATAATTCACAAAAGGATAATCATAAATAATATTATTTTAATTTTTTAAATCACAATTTTGAGTTTTTCTCATTTCTTTTTTCTTATTAGAAAGAAATGTGTCTTTATGATAAATAGATATTTTATTTATATTTCTTTTTTAATAATAAAATAACTTTTATAAAAAAAATCCTTATTAGTTAAATTCTGAATTATCATTCTACTTATCATATTATTTTAACAGTCTATAAAAAAAAAGGTAAACTTTAAAAAATTTTATTATAATCTCTGTAAATTTATTCTTGTAATTGTAAATCTATTTACAGTAGCGATTATAAGTATCTGACTGCTTCTAATTCTGGCTACAAGTAAGTAAATTCAAAATTATTTTTTATTTAAAAAATACATAATAATTAACTAAAATTAATATATTGTGTAATCACTATCTGACTCTATAAGTACAGCTATACACCTTTTCATACTAGCTACCAAATTCGTGATAAGTACAGGTGATAATCAGTTTCATTCTTTTGTAAGTTCTCCTTTAACCCTCTAATTGATCAAATTTTTTTTTTTTGTATATTAATTTTCATTAACCTTCAAATGTTTTCTATAGGGTTTTGGTCTGGAGACATTGATAGCCAAGAAAGTACTTCAATGCCATTTTCTTCCTTCCATTTTTTTACGATTTTTGATTGATGCTTTAGATCATTATCTTCTTGCAAGATCCAATCTATGTTACCTTTATCAAAAAGTTTAGAGG